TGACAATATGATCCTATAACTAGAAGATCTAATTTAATAAATTAGCAGGATACAAGACCAACACTCATAAAATCAGTAGCTTTCCTATAATCCAACAGCTTTCAGTAGAGGAAGAAATTAGGAAAACCACTCATTCACAATAACCTAAAGGAAAAAAAAAAAAGCCTTGGGAATTAATCTAACCAAGTTGGTGAATGAGCTCTACATTGAACATTATAGAACACTGAAGAAAGAAATTAAAGACTTAGAAGATGGAAAGACATCCCATGTTCTTGGATAGCAAAATTAATATTATGAAAATAGCCACACTACCAAAAGCAATAAACAGATTCAAAGCAATATACAGATTCAAAGCAATCCCCATCAAACTATCAATGACATTCTTCACAGAATTAGAAAAATCAGTCCTAGTTTTTCCTGAGGGAGCAGCTGGGTCGAGAGGAATGTGGCCCTCTCTTCTTCCAACATGGCGTGTACTTGACCCCTTTCTGTGTTCTCTGAAAAGGGGGAGTCATCTGGCAAAAATGTCACTTGGTCTCCAATTCGACCAGATATTTTAAACTTTGTTCATACCAACTTGCATAAAAACAACAGGCAGCCCAATTCTATCAGTGAATTAGCAGGTCATCAGACAATGCTGAGTCTTAGAGTACCAGCAGAGCTGTGGCTCGAATTTCCAGAGCTGGAGGCGGTGGGACCCATCGTTGTAGCCAGAGTGCCTTTGGATATATGTGTAGAGGAGGCCCCACATGTGTACCAACCAAAACATGGCATCACTGGCACCATGGAGTGAACACAACCCCAAAGCAATATGCCATCTGCTCTGCCTTGGCTGCCTCAGCCTTAGTAGCACTGGTCATGTCTAAAGGTCATTTCTGGTATTTATCTAAAAGATCTAAAATCAGCATACTATAGTGACACAGCCACCTCCATGTTTATAGCAACACAATTCACAATAGTTAAATTATGGAACCAGTCCAGATGCCTATCAATAGATGAATGGATTAAGACATTGTGATACACACACACACACACACACACACACACACACACACACACAATGGAGTTCTGCTCAGCCGCAAAGAAGAATGAAATTATGGCATTTACCAGTAAATGGATGGAAATGGAGAATATCATGCTAATGAAATAAACCAAACTCAGAAACTCAAAGGTGGGATGTTTTCTCTCATATGTGGAAGCTAGAAGAAAAATGAAGGAGAAGGAGAAGGAGGATAAGACAACCTAAAGAACAGATCAAATACAAATTAATAGATGAATGAAAGAAAGTCTAGTAGAATAGAGGGAGGAGAAGGGGTGAGGGGAGGAGAATGGGAGGGAAAGGGGGATCAGGAATTGAAACAGATTTCCATGCATGTTTGTGCTTGTCAGGACAAGTCCTAATACTACGTATAACCATAAAGCTCTAATAAGAAAAAAATTTTATAAAAGGAATAGGAACTCCAAATAAACAAGGCAGACGGAGCACACAGTCTAGGTGATATTTCCTCTCAAACTCCTACTCAAAAATGCAAATGATTAAAAAGAAAAGAGAAGTAGAAATGACACTGGACTAAGAAGACAGAGAGTAGCCGGCCAAGCCCAGGGAAGACAGAGCACAAGGTGCCCAGAGGGAGGTATCAACTGGAGTGAGGGTCCAAACCATCCGGCTCCAGAGGCCTAACCAATAAAGGAGAGGCTGGTGAAGGCAAGTGGGATGGGAACGATCAGAGCAGGCACTGCCGGGTCCACAGACCTGGGGAGATTCATTCCTGGGAGAAGTCAACAGCTGAGCTCCTGATTCAGTGATGCCAGGCACATCAGAGAGGAGTGACATGATGCAGTCCAAGAATAGGGAACTTTGTGAAAACAGCATGGGTGCCCCTAGGCCCTCCTTCTGGGTCAGCACCCAGGATGCTAACAAGCCTATATCCCACCAGGAAGAGAGAAAATGACAGAACAAAGAGAAAAAATCAACTAGCTGTCATCTAACCAAAAAGCTGGCTCATTTTACCTGTGGAGAAGCATGCATTGAGCAAGCCCCACCCAGACCCCAAAATCAGGGCCTTGTGCCTGAAAGCACACTGCTGACAGATAGAAGACCAGGCACATGGAGAAGAGAGTCCTGAGTCCAGAGAAAACTTTAGAAATCATAGTGTTCTATGATAATGTGACACTCTAGACAGTGTGCAGAATTGGGAACAAGAACTGGGAACTTCTATTAAGATATCTGAGACTCACACACAATGCCACATGCAGGCTAAGGTGGGAGGATCACTGCAGCCTAGGAGTTCAAGACCAGACTGGGCAATGGAGTGAGATACTGTCCAAAAAAAAATCTGACAGTAAGAAAAGGCTCTTAGAAATTAAAAATATAGGAGCTAGGAATGTGGCTCAGGTGGTAGAGCACTCGTCTAGCATGCATGAGGCCCTGGGTTCAATCCTCAGCACCACATAAAAATAAAAATATTGTATCCACCTAAAACTAAAAAATAAATATTTTTTTTAAAAAAGAAATTAAAAACATGGCCAAGTACGGCAGTGCATGCCTGTAAGCCCAGCAGCTGGGGAGGCTGAAGCAGGAGGATTGCAAGGTCAAAGACAGTCTCAGCAAGTTAGTGAGGCCCAGAAAGTGTCACTCAGTGAGACCCTGTCTCTAAATAAAATACAAAAAGGGCTAGGATGTGGTTCAGTGGTTAAGCACCTCTGGATTCAATCCCTATTACAAAAAAAAAAAAAAAAAAAA